GTTACTCGAAGATTAGTCCAACATCGAAAAAATTAAGAAAAATGGATGGAATTAAATAGTTTATTGGGTGGATTCAAGTAGCCTTAAATTTTCTGGATTATGATTATCGATTTCTATTTAAGGTCCATCAACTCTATAACAGTTCTGACCTTTATTTAAGGTCCATTTATTTAAGGTCCATCAACTCTATGACAATTTCTGATCATGTGCAGCATAAATCTAATCTTATAAGATTACTCGAGGTTTATTAGAAGGGAAAAGGGAACTTCTAGAGCTTCTCCATAATTCCATGGAATCCTTCAGCAAAACTTACGTTTTTTAACAACTGCACAAAAATATGACACCAATACCGAGCAAAGGAATTTGCTCTACACTGTGTATGTGGACATCAAGAATAGAGAAGCCATAAATCATTCACATAACCACCCCTTTGAGAGAACTATTTCCAAATTGTGTACTTGATTCGAACATCGACGCAGAACTTGCTACCCTTTGAAACTTCCAGCTAACGTCAAAGATATGCAGAAATATGCCAATGGTGCTTGTAAATGGTGATTGTATGGATGCCAGAATAAGAGCTAACAATATTCGACCAAGTATAAGACCAATGATAAAAGCTAAAATACAACATATAAACATCTGATTCCGCATGGAACAGCACAATTCCAATCCCATACGAGGAATTAGTTGTGAACGTAAATTAATGACTCCACCCTCACTTTGCTTTAAGAAATGATGGACCATCCAAGTACAAGCTTCACCCCAGGAGGGTATATATCATCTCAATCACAGTTCGCTAAATCTTTCTCATCTCTCATGCAATATGAGAAATATGTGGAGCCACTTAAAGCTCATACAAAACTATACACTAAACATACACCAATAAAAATTTATTACCATTGCTAAGATCCCACAACAGGCTGAGCAACTCCCTTGGCTTTCACTGCAGCAGCAGCCACAAATCTCTGTGCACTACTCTCTGAAACTTCTACGGGTACCTGCTCTTGTGTACTCAATTTAGCCAGCAACTCATTGATCTGAGTCCCTGACAGAGTTTCATGCTCCAAAAGAGCAGCAGCTAGTGCATGAAGCTCCCTACTGTGAGTAGTCAGTATATTCTTTGCATTCCCATAAGCTCTCTCCAACAGCTCCTTCACCTCTTCCTCTATAAGCAACCTAGTGCTACTACTCATACTCTTTCCATCATCCTCATAATCGTGCGAAACAAGCCCAACATTCTTACTCATCCCGTACTTTGTGACCATGGCTCTTGCTACCGAAGTCGCGTTCTCAAAATCTGAAGAAGCACCTGAAGTCACTTCATTTTCCCCGAAAATGAGTTCCTCTGCAACTCGACCTCCCATACAAACATCAAGCCTAGCAAGCATTTGTTTACGAGAGTTGCTTGTCTCGTCCTTTTCTGGAAGCTCGACAACCATGCCGAGAGCGTTTCCTCGAGGGACGATGGTGGCTTTGTGGACTGGGTAGGCTCCATCAGTGTGGATGGCAACTAGGGCATGGCCGCCTTCATGGAAAGCTGTTAGCTTTCTTGATTCATCTGAGATTACTGCTGATTTCCTTTCGCTACCCATTATGATTCTGTCCTTGGCATACTCGAGATCTGCCATGGTTACGGAATTGGACCCATCCATTGCAGCTTTTAGGGCAGCGATGTTTATTAAGTTTGCGAGCTCTGCACCTGAGAATCCTGGGGTTCCCCTCGCAATGACCATCAGATCAACATCGTCAGCCTTTACAACCTATCATAAAAGTACGATATTAGAGAGGGAAATATTTACTGCCAATTGAACTTTTTTAAGTATTACAGCAACAAGCCTTTATCCCAAATTTTTGTGATTGCCTACATAAACCCTATTCTTCCATTCAGCATTGTTGAGGACGACATCCTCTATTAAATATGATCATGTTACTGCTTTCAAACAAATTCTCCTAGGCCTAGTTCTTCACCCAATCAACAATAATATAATCACTTTGTATTTACCAACCTCGGCTGCACATGACTGACTAATTCTATCTCAGTTTGTCCTCAATAGGAGTGACGTCTAATCTCCTACTAATACACACTTCTGTAATCTTCACTCTTGGTGCATGGCATAACCACAAGTCCATCATAACGCTCATATTTGTTAAGGACACTACTCAGTAATCTTCACCAATTAATCATATGAGTTAACGGAGAGATAAAAAGTTGTAGACGGATGTTCAAGAACCAACAAAGAGAACTTCAGCAAAGAGTACTGTTTTGCCCCTCTCAATTTTGACAATTCCCATCAAATCCCAACTTTGATAATTCCCATTTTATTAATTGAAAATAATTAATAAGTTAAATAGGATCAATAAGAGCCCTTATTTCTCTCGTCCTCTCTCTTAATCACTTCTTATATTTCTTCTCAACTCTCTCTAAACCGTTCTCTAATTCTTTTAGAAAAGAAATGAGCATTTCCAAGAAAATGACACTGGCGTTGCCAGGAAGCCAACAACCATCACATTCAGGTGAATGTTAGAAAGTTATTTATTTACTGAGATAATTAAGCAGATATAATAATTGAAGGAAAGTGATTCACATGTGATTTTATGAGAAAAGTTTATGATATGTGTCCCTATAGAGAAAAACGGTGCATCAACCTATGTCCAGCAGCTATACAGACATGATTAAGAACATGCACGTAGTAGTAGTAACCAGCACAAAAAGTATTAGGAGAGAAGTTCATTTCCTGCAATAACACAACAAGTACTAGGAGAGAAATTCACTTCCTGTCATCAACTCATCATATAGGCCTAGATGATAGCCAGCTTCATCCTTATTGAAGAAAAAAGCACTAGTTGTGGATGAATTACTAGAATATTCAGAATGAAGTTCCATGCAATTGTATGTAAATATTAGTTGATGAAATTTAAGGAGATGATAAGAAAAAGGCGAAAATAAGTTTTGAATCTAAACGATATAACCTGGATGAAGAGTATACGGAATGCAACTTTGTTGCAATTAAGAATAAATAGAAGTTAGTTTGTTAAAAGGCCTACAAATGCCGGAAAGGAAATTGCTTGGAAATTCATCACGGTTAGAATATATTGTTGATAGAAGAACTAGGATGGTTAAAGGGAAAACCAGTCAAAGGAATATTTATTTTTTTCCTCTCTAAAATAAGATGGATATATGGAAAGTCATCCATATTACACAGAATGTTGCATTTGTAACTTTTTTGTGTTTCAATAGATATAGACAGAGTCCACTATGGTCTGCACTCTGACACCAGCCTATATTGGATTAAGGTGGATTTTTAATGGAAAAAAACTAATGCAATACTTTGGACAATATAATGTGTAGTTGAAGCTCTTATGAGGAGAAATAGAAAATGAAGTGTATATCAAGTATAACACACTGCATTAAGAAATAAATTTAGAGTTTAAGTTGGGAATAACAGTATAGCTTGCCTACGCTAATTTTAACTGCCATTAGTACTACTATTTTTTAGTTTCTAAGAACATATGTTTTCTCTAGTTGCAAAGAAAAAAATTGTGATATCTACCATTTTGGAGGTACCTTTTTCCACCTTATTTAAGGGCATTAATTTCAAACGAAATGGCACAGTAATGCCCAATCATTTAAGAAGGCTAAAATTTATACTGAACTTCAAAATTTAAGAGGCAGCACCTCTATCAGCCCCCTATTCGTCCTTCCTGTCAATACTAAAATTATTTGATACTTAGTACTGCACTAAATGTCAAGGTTATTACGAGTGAACTGTATGCCAATGCAATACCTTGGACATATGTGATTCCATTATCTGTCTCCGGCCTTCAACATCTGGGTTGGGAACAACAACCTGGCGATCAAACCGGCCTGGACGAATCAATGCTTTGTCCAACGATTCAGGGAAATTTGTTGCGGCAATCACGATGATCCCATCATTCTGCTTAAATCCATCCAATTCAACAAGAAGCTGATTCAAGGTCATCTTCATATACATTTGATCCTTTGCATTGCGTTTCCCGCCGATAGCATCAATCTCATCGATGAAAATTATACATGGTGATCTCTTCTTCGCCGCAGCAAAAAGATCCCTTACCCTCCTGGCCCCCACGCCAACAAACATCTCCTCAAACTCACTACCACTGCATGAGAAGAAAGGAACACTGGCCTCTCCAGCAATTGCTCTAGCCAACATAGTCTTCCCAGTGCCAGGGGGACCCACAAGAAGCACACCTTTAGGGAGTTTGCCTCCAAGCCGGGTGAAGCGCTGCAATTACAAAATATAAGATGAAGTAGCAGATCATTCACGAATTAATATTAAGAACTCTTTAAAATACAAGCAAAGTACTCAAAACCTATATGTAATACACAGTCAATGCTTGCAAATGAGAACAAAATTGCAATTCACTTGGCAATTTCTTCTTTTTACCCCCATAGAAAGGCAATTGCAACTCTTTGACTCAAAACCACCAAAGAATAGATGTCGGCCAAATACATGAATTACATTCATGAGAGTTTGATTAATGATAAGCACATGGATACTATATGTCGAACGAGCATGATCTACTGTGAGGTATTCAATAACAAATTATATTTATCGCTATAAGAGAATCGGGCTATCTAAACAAGTCAAACAAATAATAAAAGTTAACACCATAAATTTTCTTTATACTATACCTTTGGATCACGAAGGTAATGAACTATTTCCTCCAGTTCAGCTTTAGCTTCATCCACACCCTTTACATCACTAAACTTTGTACTACTATCCAGTATTGGCTGAACCTCTTCATTTAGATTTAAGCCTAGGTAATCACAATCAAATGACTCCCTTTAAGAAGTAATAAACCAAAAACTGCTAAAAAAAGAGTTGACAATATGTGAGATAACAAACCTTTACCAACTCCCCGGCCCTCAAGGAGTGCTCCTGCACCAGACATTAGAAGAAAACAAAGAGCAGCTGCACGGATAGTGCCCCATAAGAAGTTCTTAAATGTTCCAGTCTGAACTGCAATCGCGTGAATTGGTGCACTAGCAGAACCCAGAACTCCTTCCTTAGTGACTTGACCCACATTCTTGAAAGCTGAAAAAGCACCTACTTCTTCTTCTCTAGATGAAATAGAAACACCTGTACATAATTTATGATAAATAATCAACATATATCAAATATAACGAAAAGGGAAAAATCACAAGCGTTGAGTAATAACATGTGAAACCCAAACATTAGACGAGTAATTTATGCAAAGATGTTCAACAATTAACAGTTTGTTGAGTTTTCAAAATAAAAGCACATACAAAAATAGGAAGTTAGATAAAGGTGACTCAAAGGAATAGAATGCTTAAGACAACACAGATTTTTATCAGCTAGAAAGTAAGTATTTATCATCAGATAACAGGGATGTCACCAAACTCATATATACATGAAAAATCCTGCCTTAAGTAAGAGAACACTAACTTGGTGAATGTTCTCAAGGATTTGAGGAGCAGCTCATAGCTACAAGCCAATGACGTAGCGCATGCTCATATCTCTTTCCTTTGATTGCTACAATGACTTCCCACAGTTGCTACCAGTCAAGGCACCTCATACCACAACACCGTCATCAGTGCAAGGGTCAACACTGCATCCGAAGAACTAGACTTGAGAGATTCAATCTTATTACCATCAAAAGCTCTATTGGTGACATCACCAATGATACCACTTTTTCCACTAACCAATCACTTGCACTTTCACTACCATCATCTTCGTCTGTATCTAAATGTAGTCTACCTCCATTCTCGTCATTAATATGTACTTGCTTCCTTCTTTAACTCTGATGTCAATCCAATTGATGAGGTCAAGCATAAACTTCCTACACCTAAACATATTCTGCCCATATGTGCTCAACATATTCTTCCTCATTTCATGGGGACATCAAGTTTTAAATGGAAGATAATTGATGTTGGAAAGCTTTTTATTCATGTAAGCATGATCCCCGACTACCAGCAGCATAGAGAATCCGTGATTCTATGATCAAATTGTGGATTACAGATCAAGTTTCATGGTTCACAAATGGGCTCAAGACCATTTATTAACTTGGAATGGGTTGAGATAAAGGGTTGGGGTTTATTTGATCAATCTTCTGTCCTCTCCTGTCCGTAAGAGAATTCAGGTCCTGAGTGATATTAAGCAAATGAAGGTTTAAGATAAGGCCACCTTTTTCTTTGTAGTTATTCTTTTCCGCAGATGAAGATTTAAAGATAAGGTCATTAGTAATATAAATCAGATGCAGACTTTACCATAATTCTATCTTACACACGACCAAATTTTTGGCCAGGAAGCGGTAAGCAAGATATCTGAACATGAATTCTAAAGATGATGTGGGAGTCAAAAAACCTATCTTTTTAGTTGGCTGATGAAACTCAGAACTCAGAAGCAATCTTGTAAAATTATCTAAGTCCAACAGCAAGTCGAAAGAAATGAAAAGATCTGCAACACAGAATTTGCTTTAAACTCTAACACATAACACAGTCAGTGGGTGAAATAGAACATTCAACGGGATTAACTCTAGGGCTTGCATTAGTTTGAAAATTGTTATTCCCAGGGAATACGATCAATTGAAAGAGAAATTTTGAAAATCAGATTGTTCAGAAGCTTACATCATTGATGATGAAGCTCAATGAATGCATCACATCATTTAAACATGTTTTATAAAGAATGCTGACTTTAGCCCAAACTTTTCATAAACGAACCGAAAAGAAGCCTGGTGTAATTCAGATTGTGTCAACCCCTCTGCTTTCCAATAATGCGTAACAAAATAGAATACAACATTTTGAAGGAAATGGTTGTGGTATTATTTATTAGTTGTTCAAACCCAATAACTAAGTGATACGCAAAAGATGAGCGGAGTTGTATGTAGGAGATGTGATATCTTCTTCTCCGTTTATAAAGTACTATTTTTTAGATATTTCTTCTTATTGAGCTTTGGTTCCTGTCAGGCATACACATTATTTCGGAGTTTTCAGGAGCTCTTTCTTTTTCTTTTTCTTTTTCTTTTTCTTTTTCTTTTTCTTTTTCTTTCTTCGAGCGGGATGAGCTGAAGATTTGATGATCAATATGGTGGTCTTCTAAAGCGGGCCATTGAGGGTGCGCTTCAGTTGAAATTCAGGCTCCTTTTCTAGTGTGTGCTTGTGCACATGCATTAGCAAGAGAAGGAGGGAGGAAATAAAGAGCAAGTATTGATATTATTACAGCAAGTAAAAAAACAAATTCTCCTGGTCAATTAATATTCTCAAATATTAAGCATAAGAAATCAGTGATTTATGAACATGAGCAAGATGTATTATTGTATTTTGTATTTTGTATTTAACTATTTGTTTCCTATAAAATAGTGGGAGTAGAAGAACTTAGAAAACATGGAACTACATTAGGTTGTAAAGTTATTTTCTTAATAGTGGAAGACTTAGATATGAACTTAGAACTATAAATTTACTTGACCGTGGTTCACCTAGTGCAAGCAAGGCCATCTACTATTTTCAGAATGATATGAACTTATATAGCCTGAAAATAATGAATGGCCTTGTTCGCAATAGGTACACCATGTCAAGGAAATTTATACTTCTAAGTTCTTCCACTATTAAAAAAAAGTGAAAAAATAACTTTATGTCTATGTGAACAGCAGACAAGGAAATTTATGGTTCTAAGTTCATATCTTAGTTCGTATCTAGTGGAAGAACAACACATAAAAATAGTGTGGAATGGGGATATCACGATGCCGATATCACTATTTATGTAAATGGCCCTAATACAAAAAGTGGAAGAATTGCAAACATTATGTGCAAACCAGAAGCCCATTAGGTGGTAAACATATCATTCCTCAAATATGTTACACTCATTTGAGAAGCATTACACTTCTATGTAAAGCAAGAAAAAAAGATTTGCATGGATCTAGACAACTTGCATTGTAGAGTTCAGCAACATTTCAATCAGGCCGGAATAAAGGCTCAATAAGCCCATAAGCTCAAACATGTTACCTTAGTCAACAAGCAAGGACAATAGGTCTACCTTAGCTAGTGATGGATCTTCTAGTGGATTTTAATCGATAAAGCAGAAAATAGCTTAGGGGGTGTTTGGTTGGTGGTAGTTGGACTCACATGTTGCTCCAATAATTGTATAGTTCAAAATACTTGTTTTGCTAGTGCTCTTACAGCTACAATTTGCAGTTGCAACTACATTTTCAACTCTAAATCAAAGAGTTGCAGTTATGCTCAAATTGAGTATATAACTGCAACTACATATTAAAATATTTGCCTAACTACAGCAAAATCAACATTTTGATCATAATGATCATGTTTTGACCTTTTTTAGTGAAAATTGCATAGAAATAGATAAACAATAACTCAGCAACTTTTAATATTTTGATGACGCATTTTGCGAAACATGCTATCCAAACACTAGATTGGATCTCCAACTCCTGTAATTGGAACGACATGTAGTTAGACTGTTAGAGATGCATTGTTTCTCCAACTACAAACAACCAAACACACCCTTAGATCTGGTGCCGATGCTAATTATGGCATTAAAAAAGAACATATAAAAAACCATATTATTTCAACAATATTTGCCCATGGGTCTAGCGTTCTTAGTTAATAGTTCTTACTCATGCGGGATTTAGTATTAATTGCTACACATATATTGTGTTAGTATCATGATTTGATTAATATTATTGTCAATGGACACTAATCAATATTATTTTCTTATTGAAAACATAAAAAAAGTAGGGCCTATTTGGTTGCATTTTTTTGCAATGAAAATCATGTAAAGCTGTTAGTTAATGGGACCCAGTCAGCTTTCATTGCTTTACTGTATTTGATTGAATCTTCTTTGACATGAAAAACTAACACATTTTAATGAGTTGTAGTCGAAAGCAAAATCACTCCAATTTGGAGTGATTTTGTTGGAAAGCTGACGCGGTGTCAGCTGGGTACAAAAGAAACGAATAAAAAAATTAAAACATTGTTTACTGCCCTCCGTTTGATTATAATGACCATAACTTATTTCTTTTCCTTTTCAACTTAGTCCCTTAATCTTTCAAATTTTGAATTAGCCCCTGAAATCTTTGAATTAGTATTAGGTTCCATTCTTAATGATTTTCAAAATTAGTCCCTCAAATAATTAAAATTACAATAAGGTCCCTCTATTCTTATGAGTTTTCTTAAATTAACCATTCCGATTGCTACTAGTTAGGAGGCATAAATTGGATTATGAGAGTGTTTTGTGTATCATGGTGGTAATCCTATCCATTATAAAACAACATTTTAATAGGGTACACATAACTATCACTTTCCAAGTTTACATTGTGCTATCCAAACAATGTAATACTATTTATTTTAGGATTCACAAGGATTCCTAACCAAACAATGTAAATACTCAAATGGTAAGTGGTGAGGTGGATAACCACTTTCCACATTATGACATAAATACTCTAGTTTCCCCACGGCATACAAACAGCCCCTAAAGGTTACAATTATACAAATATCTACGTAGTTATTTTCAAGATAAATCATCCCAGCAGTAAATGATATGTATTGATATTAGATAACAGTGTAGAAGCTAGACAATGCAATAATAATTAGTTATTCTCGAGAAAATTAGTTCAGGAATAACTGGCACGTCTAGGTATGACAAACGAAAAGCCATGTTAATTAAAAAGGAGCAGAAAATTGTCAATCTCTACCACGGACCTCGTTGCAACGACTTGAGCAATGAGCTCTCTTCCAGCCTATCAACCCTAACCAATGCTTTGACATATGCAGCAACCGCTGAGGGATTCGAATGCAATGACGGCTGTGATTCAAAGATCCTAATAGCTCTCTCGGGATCACTTCTCTGCAGCTCTTTAACCATTGAGGCTTCATTCCATCCACCCGAATCCCTAAATTTACTAGCAAAACTGCCCACATAGCTCGACTGAAACCTAGAAAAATTACCTGCAAAGACGCAACTTTCCGAATAAAAATCCTAAATTTGTCACAGAAACCCTAATTCTAATTTTGATTACTCACCTCCGGCGTTATGATACCGATGCTTCAAATTCTGGATGCAAACAATGAGAAATAATTAACTACTATCGAATGGCAGCAGGAACAAAACCCTAATTTGGGGGGAAAAACAAAATAGAAAATGAACTCGCAAAAAAAGGTGAAGAAATCTTGCCTGCGTGAGGAGTCGCCTCAAAGCCATGACCTTTTTCAAATTACTCCTTTTGACTTTTTTTTTGGCTGAATTTTGGATGTTTTATCGATTGATTTACAATATCGAACAAATTCTAAATCGATCTTTCAACGAGAGGATAAAGAGATAAAATTATCGGGATTGATTTTCCCCCCGAATTTCAGCGAGTTTTGGGGTCGGAGACCTCTCGGTCTTATTTCGCACGCGCGAGATTTTCTGGGTAGGGTTTTATTTTGCCCGTCTATCTCACACATCTCTACTATTTGCAAATTTGCCCCAGAATCTGCAATATTTTTAATTGGGTTTTTTGAGATATTAGTTCTTACATCTCCAATACTTGCACATTAGTCTCTCAATCTTGGAAATTGCATATTTGTACTTCAAATCCTCTTGCAAATGATACTTCAAGTTAAATCACACTACTTTGACAAATATTCCAGCAAATCTAATGGTTGAAGGCAAAGTGACTATTTTACCCCTATATTATGTTCCCCTAACCCATTTCTTAATGGATTTAATCTTAATATCCGCTAAAGGGCATGTTTGTTTGCAGAGAAGTACCTATAAAATAGTTAAAGTAAGAAAAGTAGAGGCTATTACTCCTATTTTAAAGAAAAAATTATATGTTGAAGCAAGAAGTCAAGGCTGCTACTTCTATTCCAGGCAAAAAAGTAGACATATTTTCCTTTGGAAAAGCTACATTTGGTAATTTCTTAAATATTTACGTGCTACTCCTACTCCAGGGGAAAAAGTATACATTTTTTCCTTTGGAAAAGCTACTTTTGGTACTTCCTTAAATGTTGACATGATGCCTATAAGACATCTCTATTTTTTTTAATTATTTTTCATTCCTATTTTAAAGAAAAAATTATATGTTGAAGCAAGAAGTCAAGGCTGCTACTTCTATTCCAGGCAAAAAAGTAGACATATAAGACCTATTTTTATAATTTTTTATACCAAAATGCTTGAGAGCTCTTGAGAGCTTGCTGACTAGGACTCCCAACTGGGAGCTTGCTGGACTTGCTCTCAGAGCAAGGGCAGCAAGCTCTGAAGAGAGCTCTCAAGGCTGACGTGGCCGTGGAAAACGGCAGCCCCCCCTCCAGCAAGCTCCTAACCCCTCCCAAGCCCCTCTCCTTAGGCCGACGTGGCGGTGGAGAGCTTCGGAGCTCCCAAGCGCTCCACAAATTTGTGGAGCGCTTGAGAGCTCCCAACTAGAAAAATTTTACAAAACCCCCCCTCAAACATACCAGGATCGACGATGATGACCTTTCCGTTGAGATGCTGGCGTTCGCGGAGATGATGGGTGGCGGGTCGGAAATCAATTCCCACTTTAGAAATCTGATGAATCGTCCGCTGGCGATCGAAGAGGCGATACCCGCAGCTAACTTGCGCCTACTGATCCAGAGATTTCCTCGATTCGACGCTCATCTCTCCGTCTGAGTGATCCTGAGCGCTATTTTTTTCCATTAATTTGGGGATCAAATTCAAGCAGACGTTGACTTGATTTTAGTTTTTTATTCGTGACGAAACCCTAGGAAGAAAATAATTATAATGGAATAAAAGTATGGGACTTTTCAAAGAAGGGAACTTTGATTTATTTGGATTTTTTAACTGGGAGTGGAGAGAAGTGCTGAATTTTTTAACTGGGATTTATTTGGATTTTTTAACTGGGATTTTTTAACTGGGAGCGGTTAGAAATAAAATACAAGAGGTTTAAATATAATTGAAAGTAATAGGTAAAATATTAAAATAGAAGAGGTTTTTTTTTTGATATTGTTGGAGCTCCTAACTAGGAGCTTGTTGGAGCTCCATAAAATAAGGAGATGCTCCTTTTTGATATTGTTGGAGCTCCTAACTAGGAGCTTGTTGGAGCTCCATAAAATAAGGAGATGCTCCCAAGACCTATTTTTATAATTTTTTATACACTAGGAGCTTGTTGGAGCTCCATAAAATAAGGAGATGCTCCCAAGACCTATTTTTATAATTTTTTATACTAAAATGCTTGAGAGCTCTTGAGAGCTTGCTGACTAGGACTCCCAACTGGGAGCTTGCTGCACTTGTTCTAAGACATCTCTACTTTTTTTTAATTATTTTCCATTCCTCAAGGCTCCGAAGTAGCTTAGGTGTAGCTGAAATATGAATCAATTTAAGAATAAAGTTAAATTTTGTATTACGTGGATATTCTCAATTTCTAAATAAAATCCCAAAAATATTCTCTTTCTCTCTTCCTAACAATATTTTTAATAGCTATCCAAACAAAAAAATGAACGAAGTAGAAGAAATATTATTCGGACTATTTTCCAAAAATATGTGAAGTAAAAAAAAAGAGTATTGCTTCCACTATTTCCTACTTCATCATAATTTCAGAAGCTAACTTCTTTTATTTACTTATTACTTTTATATACTTCTTGTCATCCAAACGGGCACTAAAAAACCGAAACACACTTGAGTTCTTCCTCTTCAATGGTAGAAAAGAATCCAAACCCAAAGTTTAGCTTCACAAAGTTTGAAACATCAGAAAGAGAAGAATGTTTATCTATCACTTTGAAATTGAGTCGTGTTAATAAGGGTATTTTTGACTCTATTGCCAAAGAATGTGTTAATAAACTAACGAATATTGGCCACGTTTGGTTTTTTTTTTGGAATAGTGAGGATACTATTTTAAAATAGTCTTAACCATCGTTTAGTTCTATGTTTATGTTTTATCTGATTTGCATTATTTTTAAGGAGGCAATGAATAGCCCCCATGAAAGGAACTAATTTAAAGTCACCCATCCCTACCTTTATAATCCAGACTATACATGTAGGTACCGTTTGGCAAAAGGTTAAGTGAGGGGTTAAGGAGACTTAACCCCTTCTTAACCTGCCAAACACAACAAATCTATATAAGGGTTAAAGTGAGTTAACCCTCCATAATTTGCCAAACATAAAAAATATAGAAGGGTTAAGTTAACCCCTCTAGAGGGGTTAAAATGAGTTAACCCCTCAAAATGAGGGGTTTACTAATACTCCTATTTAGATGGAATAAGAGTTAACCCTTCTAATTATAAAGAAAATAGTTAAAATCATTGTTATTCCCAAACACTAAAACTAATCATAAAGGCTAAAATAAAACTTATTTAACGGGTTAATAATTTAGTCCTTCGGATTATCAAATGGGCTAAGTACATTAATCCTTCTCTTTAACCACTCTTCGTTAACCATTTGCCAAACGAGGCCGTAGAGGTTTAAGATTTGGGACAAAATCACTCCTATCATTTTCCTTCTTCTGACGAGATTTATTTGTTCGGTCGTTCTCCATTATTCCCACAAAATTCTTTTTCGTGAGCAAGGAAAAAACAAAAGCGTAACTTTTTGAGAAGGATGATAAGATGAATGCGTGTGTATATATGAATCTTGTTGGATATTTTGTTGGAGAAAAGGCAATTTTGCCTTCATGAATAGTCTCATATAGAATAGTGTTATGAATACAATTAAAACGTGTGTAACGACTATACATTATGGGGAACGTTACAAAAATTTATAACGAACGTTATTGTATTAATTATAGGAATTATAATGGCTTTCTCAACCCTATATATACATCCTTATTCACTTTCGGAAAATATATAGAAACAATTCTCTCTTTTTCCTCTGCATATTATTTTCGTTCATATGTTGGTGTTATTTTTGGGCAACCGTTCTTCGTTTGAGATGAAGCTCTGTTCTCTCGCCTGAGTATAGAAGTCGGCCACTTCCTGGGTTTTTACCGCTAGGGGAGAGAGGATCATCTGCGCCAGGGCGATAGGCGGGTCCTTAATCTTCTAGGGCAGTGTTTACACGACTGCTCCTGATCATGCCAGACTTTCTTATTATTTTATTTCAGATTTATTTTACATGCTATAACTTTTGATTTGATAAATTTTCCAATAGTCTAAAAGATTGATTTTTTCTCGGATGAACAGTAAAATCTGGTGAACAATAATAAAATTTTTTATAATAATTTCGGATTAAAAACAATAACTATAAACTAATTCCTTTTGCTAATATGATTTTGAATTTATTAATTGATGTATACCAAACTCATTGTGAACCAACTCAAAGAAGTCAATACTGGAGCTGGACTCAAGATTGATACTAATAGCACATCCATATCAAATGGTCAGTTCTATATTCTTAAACCCTTTTATTTATTTGATAATTGTTATAATTCCATATGAAACATTTTATATTCAAGCATGAATAAGAGAACCGGAATTATGAGAATAATTCATATGCATAAATTTAAAATTGAAAAGTCTCTTTTGTAAGCAACCAATTTAAATTTGGAAGGTCACTTTTATAGGTAACCAATTTAAATTTGGAAAGTCTCCTTTGTATGCAACAAATTTGAAACCTCTTATAATACGAGAATTTAAAATTTATGCATATGAAATATGAAATATACTTTAAGATATGAAATCATATTATAAGGTTCTCTTGAATGCTTTGCATGTAACTATTAGTAATTTTATTTATGTATGTGCGTACGCATACATGTAAAGAAATAACTGTAGTATTTTAGTTCGACATTAGTTTGAAATGTTCAGATATTAAGAGCAAATTCTAACTCTATGCAGTTACATCTTCAGACATAGACTACGATCATTTATGATCATAGACCATGATCTTTTATGCTAACATATTTTGATGTCCTATCATTTTAATAGTAACTAGAAAGATTAATTTTTATAGCTATTTATTTGACTACATGTATAATGTTTTCTCTTGAGATTTTAGAAAATGATTAGAGTTTATATAAATATGCTCTGTCAACTAGTATGCCTAGTTATAGGAGATGCGATGAATCAATGTCCTGGAAAATCAAATCAAGAGGTATGTCTTATAACTTCTATCTATATGATGAATAAAAGAGGTATGTCTTATAACTTCTATCTATATGATGAATAAAAGTTATATTAAAATTAGTCTATCAAATAAATAAATTGCTATTTATAACTTCTATCTATATGATGAATAAAAGTTATATTAAAATTAGTCTATCAAATAAATAAATTGCTATTAGGTTCCCTTATCCTTATAAGTTGTTTCAAATCAATCTTTCCTCTTACTACTTGTACTCTTGCCTGGAAAAATTGATTTAAAAAATAACTTAAACAAGAAGGGGACCTAATGTCAAGCAATATAAAGGACTAATTATAAAATAACTTGATAAATATATAC